TAAATATTGCAAATTATTCAAAGTTGCAATTTTGCATGAGTTGGCAACTTCGCAACATTGCCAGCATGGTGAAATTGATATTTTTAAAAATAAAATCGCCTGTTGAGAAATGCATTTTCACCTATCAATGAAATCGCAAGTTTAACATGTGATTGCATAGTTACAAATTTCATTTTTAGATAAGATAGAATGATTGAAAAAGGAGGGTTTAATTTATGGATATAGTGAAACAATAATATTCAACCTTCACCTTTACCCAAAAGCAATCTTCATCTTCCATAAGTGAAATTTATGGATTATATCGTGAGAATGAAGAGAGAAAGATTTCAGTGCTGAAGGATGAAACCAAAAAAATATATATCAACACATATATACATATATTTCAGTAGCTATGCTGATATATACATCAATTTCCTGTGCAATATTTATGAAATAGCAAGTTGTAAATTCAATTTCCTGTATTTCTTAGGCCACACCAGATCCTATGCCAATTGCCATGTGACCACCTCACCATGAAATCAAGTGAAAACGTAATTTCAACATGAAGTTTCAAAGATTGTTGTATTTGTTGAATAGTTTCCAAACTGTGGTACTTTATGATTACTTTTCCAAAATACAATATTCATCCAAAAAGGCCTGGTAATGTGCCATCTAGAGGCCCATCCAATAACTAGTTTAAAAACCAAATCTCTGACTTCTTAATACTAAATTTTCATTAACAGCTATCTAATGTCAGCAGTCTCGTATGTAGCATTATGAAATCAAAATGCAACAAGTAGTGTCAGAAATAATTTCTTCTATCATTCTCTAATCAGCTAATGTAGTTACAAAATCCCCAAAACGGTCAAAATTTTCAAATATTTCCTTTGCCCATCAAGATGTTGGCCCTTTGTGATTATCTAATGCCATTTCTAAGCTAAACTTTTTTCATATTTTTCAGGTTAGGGTAATTATATCCTCGTGCACCAATTATGTATACAAGTTAGGTATTTGTATTCCCATAGCAAATAGCAAAGCAAAAACTAGAATTAAAAACAAAAGTCCCAAGCAGTAACCTGGTCAAGTGTACATAGAGAACAACCCTATAGCCTTGCTTCGCAATTCCCTCTTCCGTGACTGAACCTGAAAAAAATGACACATTGAAAACTAAAACAAATCAATTCAAATCCAGTAAGAAATAATTTATATGTGTAATTAGAGAGAGAGAGAGAGAGAGAGAGACTTGAGCGAGAAAGGCTTGGGCGTCTTCGTGGCGAAAGCAAAGCAAGCCAATGGATTTGAGGGACTTGGGATCAGAAATGAGCACGAACTCGTTGTTGGAGTTGCTGACGGTGTATACAGACGTTCCGGAGAGAGTCTTCGCCACGTGGTCGGAGCTCAGAAGAGCAACATCGAACGCGTGCTTTCCCTGCTGCGACTGCGACTGCGACTGAGACTGAGACACCGACTCCGACACAGACGCAAAAGGTAAAGAACAAAAAGAAGAAGAAGACGACGGTGGTTGCCGCCAACGCTTCTGCGCCGCCGCCGGCCGAGGCCAGTTGGCGGCGAGTTTCTTTGTGTCGTCGATTCTACTCGCGAGTTCGGCGCCGAGTCTGAGACAATGTTGGTGGATAAAGGATGATAGAGAGAGAAGTGGATTGGGGGTCCCTAATGAAGGTTTTGGAGACTCCATTGTCACTATGACAACACAACCGGAGGAAGAAGAAGAGAAATCAAAGAACCAACTGGTTTTTATTGTGCACTAGTTCGACTGATTGATACTATGGAGTTGTGGAAAAAAATTATAAATAAAAAAATATTTTAGAGTTTTAAAACAGAAGAGTTCTAAAGTTTCATTTGGCAATTAGATTTTTTAGTTAAAAAGTTAAAAGTTAAAAGTTATAAATTATCAAATTATTTATTTATTTATTTATTTATTTTTAATATATTTATTTCTAAAAAATTAAAAAATTATTAAAATGTTCATTACTATAGCTCAGTTTAGTTGGAGCCCAACTTATCCAGCTCTTACAAGAGCTCCCTGTGAGCAAGTGTTATTTGTATTTTTTTTTATGTCTTGATAATATTTTTTTTAACTCCTACTTACATGTAATTTTTCATACATATATTACATTATCATTGCCCAATCTTTAATTGCTCTCACTCACAATCTATTTTAATAGTAATTTTTTAATAAAAAAATATATTAAAAAAATAGGGAGAATAAATTTTTTTACTTTTTGATCTTTTGACTATTATTTAATGTTATCAAACTTACCTAAAATGTTCAGCCAGCGAACAAGAATCCACAGAATCTTTCCTCACATTTTGCAAAATCATTTGGGTAGAGTAGTCAAAAGGCTTCACATTGCACCTATTAGCAGGGAACTTCTATTTTCACGCACTATTTTCTCTTTGTGTACATCCCACTCAGTTTACATACTACAAAATTTATAAATATTTAATTTTGAGGGTTACTATTAGCACTTCACTTATTATTTTAGACCCTTCATTTTTTTAAATCTCCACTTATAAATTTTAAAATCCTTAAAATTTCTCTCATTATTCTAAATAGTTTCAAAATTATCCTTTTAAAATTTCACATCTAATAAAATGCACATCCCTCAGTACACCCTTAAAAACCATTAATCTCTCAAAATCCCAAAAGTTCAAATTTGAACTCCACTGTGAAGATCTCCCCCGTCAATCACGTTTCTTACTCTCATGGCAATATCTCTGTAACTCTCTTTTACTGCGAATCTCATAGAAAGAAAGACAAGTTTTGCAAGTAAAAAGGAGCTTTGCTATTGATCTGAAACTCATCTTCACAAGTTTCATGGCGGTCTCTCTCTCTCTCTCTCCCTTCCTCCCCATTAAACTTTAAGAAATCCCCTTGTTTGGACCTGTGTTCTAAAACAAAACAGTCTATGTTCAAGCCTATGTTGCAAAACAAATGACTGATGTTTGGCTATGTATTCCCCAAACTTAGAAAACATGAACTCCTGCATATGTGCACAAGTTTGACTCATCAAAATTTAAGAAATTCTATTGTTCAAACTTGTTTTCCCAAACAAATGACCTATGTTCGGGCCTGTGCTGCCAAACAAATGGTTGATGTTCAGCTATGTGTCCCGAACCTTGGAAGATCTAAACTCCTGCGTGTTTTTGAAGTCAAACCATTTTCACCAGTTTTGTTTGTATTTTTGAAGAAACTTACCATTACAAGGCCAACCTCCTCCAAGCCATAAACACTATCCAAGCTATGAACCTCTTTTAAGCTTACATTATTGTATTTCATTCGTCTCATGACATTATGGTTGCCACATAAACTTTCACTCATTGCCATTGCTGGAAAAGTGTGTATAATCAAATGGTTGCCATCGTTGCCACTGTTGCCACTGGAATATCGCCATTGGAGGGTTCTCACCATGTTTGGTTTGGATGTACATAATTGAATATTGTGTTTAGTTTAGAACTTCAATGGTCAACCTTTGGGGTTATTTCGGAAATTGACGATTGAACAAATGTACATGGTTCAACACTGATTTACCAAATTGAGAGTGCGACTAGAAAAAAAGAAAATGATTTTAAAAATTGAAACTCACCTTTTCATTGTTTGATTTGTTGTTACCAATAATATCCTTCTCAAAATTTCAGCTTTCATTTTGCAAACATTTCGTAACACAAATCATGTATGAAGTGGGTGTAATGGATGGATTTGTGTGATAATGAAGAACTCAAATACACCCAAATGAGAAGGTTTAAGGCCAATGGAAGAACTAGAATTAACACTGCATCTTTGCAAGTTGAGGACTTTAAAAATGACAATGGCCTCATGTGTGTAGACTTTTTGTTAATTATCTCTAAGAAAAATGTTACAATTCTAAGAGATGTGTTGTGAGAACTTTTTTAATTTCAGTGATGTGTATTAAAAAAAAATTAGATAAGGTGATGTATGTATTAATGTCTATAATAGTAATTTTATTTAGTGACAAAATTGTAAGAAAAACATTATTCATTAAATGTGTGTAAAGAGAAGAAAGGGTGGGTAGAAATAGATCTTCCCTATTAATATCAGCGCTTGTGTCAAGAATGGATGAGAGGAGATTAGAATGGGCCTATTATTCTTTGGACCCACTGTTCATTACTATAGCTCAGTTTAGTTGGAGCCCAACTTATCATTTCCATATGGGCCTAAAATAATATTTATTGATCATGTATCATACTATTTTTAGCCTTAACACTTCTATCTTACTCTCTTATCTTTTTAGGGAAATCCTATTTTAGGAATGTATATCATATACATCTTATCATAAAAAATATGTAATTTTATTATAAAATTTTGTAATATCAACTATAAAATGTGTAACCTTGCTATAAATTGAAGTAACAAAAATATTCAAAATTTTGTGATTTTGATATTGTAAAAAATTGTGACTTGATTACGACATTTTTTGTTCAATTTGTAGCAATGTTACACATTTTATGGTTGATGTTACAAAATTTATAGTAAAGTTACACATTTTTGTAATAAGATGCAAATGGTATGCACCTCTTTAGGGGTGCACACCATAGCATTTCCCCTCTTTTTATTTTGCATTAATTACACATTTATTCCCTAACTATCATTAATTTTTACCTTATCTCTCTCAATTTTGTAATCATCTATGCATAGACCACTTAATTATCAAAAACCATACAAAGACACAATTTGAAGGAGTGAACGTGAAGCAATTTTAATTGTTGAATATACGATTTTAAAATAGAGGAAGGAAAGGTAATAATAATAGTTAGTGATAGTTAAAGGGAGTGAAGTTGTTAAATGGATGCTCATGTGTACTAAAATAATAAAAAGATTTTAAGAATATTCATGAGTCTTAAATGTATTATTAGGATACTGAAAACTGAAATAGTTACAAAATTTGTGCACGAGTTTTCATATTTACCCATAAAATTCAGTTAAGAAAAAAATTATTTTAATGATAAAAAGATCATATTTATACGATAGTTTGGAGAGGACTTGCTTAAGAATAAGAAAGAGAAACCTCATATAAATACCATGGAACAAGGTTTGATCAATTAAGACAAAAATATTTGAATGATAAAAAGATCATATGCTGGCGGAATATGACGCAATTTCAAAAACAAAAGAAAGCAAAATCAATGTTTTCCCGTTATACGTTGCTAAAATTTTTTACCTTCACATAATCAATAACTTTTAGGATTACCTATCTATTGCATCTTGGTATTTTTTTTCAGTTGTTATTACATTTGTATTAGGTAGAACACACTTTTTTCCCCCTTCTTTTATGTTTGATTTCTTGGGTATATAATAACATAAAGGATTTTTATGAAATGCCTATTCATTTTCTTGTCATTTTCCTAGCCCAAAGAGAAGCAAAAATTTAGCTTCTTTGTGAGAAACATTGCACTATTGTCTACATGGTGGTGGTGTATTGGATTTGAAAGAATTCTCTATGAAAAAGAATTGTGATTTGGGAAATATGAAAATTTTGGATGTTGTTGGTTGCCTAATGAAATCGCTCATGGTTAGTTCTCAAAAGTTTAAGGGGACCTAGTCGTTGTACGCAATTACAATTATGTTGTTCAAAGGACTTAATGAAGGGTTTGCTCTTAGAAGAGCTTGTGCTTCAACAAGACTTTGGCATGATGTTTGGCGGAAGATAAAGTTTTGAAACTTAAGTATACAATTTTTTTTTTTTTTTTATATTATTTATAATCTAAATAGCAATCAAGAATGGGACTTAAAATTTAGAAGAAGCCTCTTTGTATGGGAAAATGGATCGACTAATAAATTTGATAAGTAACTAAATGGAGTGTCTTTAGTAAGAGGAAGAGATGATATGATGACATGGAGATAGGAAAACTTTGGGATTTTTTTTCTATTAAATCAGTTTTTAGAAAGTGTGAATTCTTGTTTGAGGGGAACCTCTAATTCAAACATCCTTTCTAAATTTTGGTAGTCAACTTTGGATTGTGATTTTTTGTTGGCAAGCTATACAATGCAAAATTGCAACTAGGGAAGAATTTTTTCAAAGAAATATCATTCCACTAATAAAAAATATGTTTCTTGCCCCTTCTGTCAAAGATGAACAACCATTCACATGTTTTTTCACCGTAGTTTTGCCTCAAAAATCTAGTCTTCATGTTTAAATTGGTGGTGGTTCTCAAATCCTTATTGTGATTTTGAGAAAAGAATATGGGAAACTCGGGTTTATATTGTGATATGTTCTCTTTGGAAAGAAAGAAATTATGTTGCTTTACTAGTATTGAATTTTTCTTTGATGATTTGACATACTTGATCAAGTTTAGGTTGGCTAAGTTAGTAAAAACTCTAAACAATAATACAGACTAGCTAGCTTTTGACTTTATTTGAAGCATTGAAGGAATTTGCACACTAAAATTGAAGAATCTCATCAAAAACTAAATGACATTCTTGATTGAACTTCTCAAATCTTTGTGTGTGTGTGTTACATTGGCAAAAAGGGGTGGTTTGTACAAAGGGAGGACCTTAGGCTGCTTCATTCAAGTACTAGAGCTATGAACTAGGATGCTTTGTTTCATCTTTATTGTGCTCCTGCTTTGGCTACATCTTGATACTCATTTTGACTTCCTTATGTTTGGTCTGTTTTGGATTTGGAAATTTGGAGAATTTACAATGTTGTTTTGATGGTTTTGGGGGCTTTGCTCTTCTTGTTAGGATTTCATTTGTTGGCATCCAACCAGTTTTGCATGGCCTTGGCACAACGCATGAGTAGCTT